CTGATACATATGCATGTTCTTACATGTACAGTATGTTGTGTAAAAATCTCGAGCTGATTTTGATCAAATTTGAATTTCTTACGAATATTATTTTTAAAGTTGCTCAAAAATTGGGTCAAAGTCCCTGTACTATAAAAAATTTAAAAAAAACAAGATGAAGTAGGATTCCGAACGACCAACGAAAATATGAAATGAAAATCCTACTCATGACGCAAATTCTACTCTACATTGTGCTTTTAATGTTATTATGTAATAATTACGGATCACCTTGCAATGTAGAGTAGAATTTGTGTCACGAGTAGGATTTTTATTTCGTATTTTTGTTGGTCGTTCTGAATTCTACTTCATCTTGTTTTTTTTAATTTTTTATGTTCTTGTTTGTGTTGATTTTTAAATAATATTTTGTATTTTCGTTGGTTGTTTGGAATCCTACTTCATCTTGTTTTTTTATTTTGTATGTCCTTGTTTGTGTTGATTTTTAAAATAATATTTATAGTATTTCTTTAGTTGCAATTCTGATACTTGTTGATTTTACACAAACAATAATTTTCTTTATTATTATTATCATTGTTATAACATTTATGAGAGACAGTATTGAATAGACTTCCTGAAGGAATATCAACTATACTGATGACAAGTGAAACTAATACTAGTCTTGACACAAGTCCTTGTTCAAGAATCTGTGATCTAAGAGTGTCCATCTTCCCTGCTATTCCTGTTCTTCCAGGCTGTTGTCAAGTTCATAATTATCATTGCATATCATAAGTCATAACATTAATTAATTGTTTGTTTTTTTTTAATAAAATAAAATAAAACACTTGATAAAACAGTAACATGTAAAATTAATACCTTCTTTTAGCTGGAAACCTCCACTAAAGTATTGCAGTATCAGTAAGTTGATTCCAAGCATAGCTTGGTAAAAAATAACTTACTTTTTCCAGAGCTGCAGATCTGAGCATGCACGACCACACCCAAATTTTGGAGCACATCGCAAGCTTCTTTAATTAACAAACTGGCGGCATGTAGCTAAGATGGCTCGATCCAGCAGTCACAGTATCACTTTATCCTTACTTGAAGAATGATCTGATGGGACATGGACCTGTGCATAGACTGTTGGAGTAGATTGGTGTAAGAATTATTCTTGTAGCACCAACTGATACTGAGATACACACCGACAACTGGATTGACAGGACTTGATGAAGATGATGATGATGATGAAGATGAAAAAAGGTGGCTGAACAAAACGGCCGGTTCACCGATTTTTGACTTTTCGCTTAGAAAAGGTCTAGAGCCACGCTAGCTATACCATTGGAGTCCTCTGGTCAAGATAAGGTCCTCTATAAAGTC